CAGCGTGGTTCCACTGGCATTACCATCTTTACGGGTGACTTTCCACCCCTTGAACCAAGGCATGTTAGCACTTGGCTCCAGCATGTTGTCACCATTCCAACCAGAAATTGGCACAAATGCTACTGTGTCAGGATTGTAGCCAATTTTCTTAATGTAAGTGCTGACTTCCTTAACAATTTCTTCGTATCTCTTCTGACTGTAAGGTGGCTCAGTGGAATCCATTTTGTTAACGCCAACAATTAGTTGCTTCACACCCAGTGTGTAAGCCAGGAGAGCATGCTCACGGGTCTGCCCGTTCTTGGAAATACCAGCTTCAAATTCACCAACACCAGCAGCAACAATGAGGACAGCACAGTCAGCCTGAGATGTGCCTGTAATCATGTTTTTGATGAAGTCTCTGTGTCCTGGAGCATCGATGATAGTGACGTAGTACTTGCTGGTCTCAAATTTCCACAGGGAGATATCGATGGTGATGCCACGTTCACGCTCAGCTTTCAGCTTATCCAAAACCCAGGCATACTTGAAGGAGCCCTTTCCCATCTCAGCAGCCTCCTTCTTGAATTTCTCGATGGTTCTTTTGTCGATGCCGCCACATTTGTAGATCAGGTGGCCGGTGGTGGTGGACTTGCCGGAATCGACGTGTCCAATGACGACAATGTTGATGTGCGTCTTTTCCTTTCCCATTTTGGCCTTTAGGGGTGGCTTTCACGACACCTGTGCTCTGGCGGCAAACTCGTTGCGAAAAAGCTAATTTTTATTTTTGAAACAAAGTCCCACTCTATCACCCAGGCTGAAGTGCAGTGGTACAATCATAGTTCACTGCAGCCTCAAATTCCTAGGTTCAAGTGATTCTCCCTCTCCAATCTTCCAAGTAACTAAGATTACAGGCACATGGCACTGTGCCCAACTAATTAAAAAAAATTTTTTTGTAGAGATAGGGTCTCACTATGTTTCCCACGCTGGTGTCAAACTCCTGGTCTCAAGCAAACCTCCTACCTCAACCTCTCAAAGCACTGGGATTACAGGAGTGAGTCACTGCATCTGGCCTCCTTCCTTTTAAAAGCTGAGTAATATTCTACTGTACAAACAGACTACATCTTACTTATGTATATTCAGCTGTTGATAACTTATTAGCCAGCCTGGGTCACGTGCCCACTCTCTTTTGGCTGTTGTGAGTAATGTTGCCATGATCATGGGGGTGCAATATTTACAATGTCTGAGTGC